GCCCTTAACCATACGTGTGGCCCTTCTCTGGGCCCCCTCCAGGTTATCCGCATCCCTCTTGAAGTGCGGCACCGAGAATTGCACGCAGTACTCCAACCGCGGTCTGATCAGCGCCCGATAGAGGGGAAGTATCACCTCCTTGGATCTATTCGTCATGCATCTGCTGATGCACGATAAAGTCCCATTGGCTTTTCTGATGGCTTCGTCACACTGCCGACTCATGTTCATCTTGGAGTCTACTAGGACTCCAAGATCCCTTTCCACTTCCGTGCCACCCAGCAGGTCATTCCCTAGGCTGTAGGTGTGCTGGACATTTTTCCTCCCTAGATGCAGCACTTTGCATTTCTCCTTGTTGAACTGCATTCTGTTGTTTTCTGCCCACTTGTCCAACCTGTCCAGGTCTGCTTGCAGCTGTTCCCTGCCCTCCGGCGTGTCCACTTCTCCCCATAGCTTTGTGTCATCTGCAAACTTGGACAGAGTACATTTCACTCCCTCGTCCAAGTCACTGATGAAGACATTAAAGAGTATCAGTCCAAGGACCGAACCCTGTGGGACCCCACTTCCCACACCCTTCCAGGTCGAAACCAACCCATCCACCACGACTCTCTGGGTGCGACCCTCCAGCCAATTTGCCACCCACCGGACTGTGTAGTCATCCAAGTCACAGCCTCTTAACTTGTTCACCAGTATGGGGTGGGATACCGTATCGAAGGCCTTCCTGAAGTCTAAGTATACAACATCCACCCCTCCTCCTGTGTCCAGGCGTTTCATAACCTGGTCATTCCAGGTTGGAATGGGGCCCTAACATCTGCCTGCATCCTGAATTTAAATATTAACAGCTCTGTTTCCTTTCCTCTGGGGGAAGTTAAAAGGTTCCTTCCACCAATATTCAGTCTTAAAAGAACCAAAATTATTGCTTTATTGGCTTCTACAGCGAAGGGAAAAAATGAAAGAAAACTGAAAATAGTTTTTGAAGTTCTGCATTTGAGCTTAATCATTTACATTGAAAATGCTTGAGAACTGAAGACAATTGGTTTCAGAATAATCTGACTACTTGCCCTCAGCCACAGGCTAACTTTACAACCTACAACTATTTAATCTTTTTCTGAAAATATAACATTTTCATACTTATCTTCACTACATAAAAAGAAAGCTATCCTTATAAACTCATATGGCATTTCTATATGTTATCTTATTGCACAGCATTCAGAGGTCTCTGATCTTTTTACAGTTCCTCTGAACTGGACATCTAGGGTATCACTTTAGGCATCGCTTAGTCATGTCATCATTATATATTTCAGTTACAGCTAGAATTAACCAATTTCAAGCACACTGGGTCAATCAAATGCACATGAAATAGTTTCTAAATATCCTAAGTTAGTAGTTAGAAAGAATTAGGCACATACCCTAAAATTTGTTAAAACATATTATATCACGCTCTTCATTAGTCAATACACTAGTGATTCAAATGATAGGTAAATTTTGGATTAGAACTCCAGTACTGATCACCAGCACAAGCCTTAACAATGAATTTAAAGCAAAAATAACAAAAATACAAAGAAAACAAAGTGTTATGTAAAATGGTATGAAAGTTAACTCAACAATTCTGGGTCAAAAAAGACATTTCAAATTTACTTTTAAGATTAATGGTGAATAAAACTGCATTATGAGTGACAAGAGGCATGCAACAAGAACACATACACTGATAGCTGAAACAGGGTCAGAGTTTACATAGGTGACAGCAGGCCGATGACTGAGAGCATTTTTCCAAGAAGAAAGCAGCGAGAGCAAGAGCTCAGGAATTGAGCCCCGTTGGCAAAATGACTTGATGAGAAAAAGGAAGAAAGTGATGAAGTCACAAAACAATGCACAAGAGAATAAGCGATTATGTAACCACTAGATAAGTACTAAACAAATTCTTTCCTAACAAACAATACCATAAGTAAATTTAAACATGTATGTGTTTTTAGAACACATGACCAAAGTACTGAAGTTAGCAACAGAAGGGCAAGAACTGATGAGATTTCTGATCTCTTAAAATGCTTCAAAAATACTGTCAATATCAATTTGCTGCTCAGAAATAGCCAAACAGCAGAAAGACGACAGAACAAAAAAGCTCCAGGGAGCATGAACATGCCAGTCAAATACAATCTCTGCAATTGTCATCAGTTCAAAGTGCTCTTTAGACTCGAAATAGGCCTATATATCATTTAAAATTTAAAACATTTTCTGAAGCTTCGTAAGACTGCTTCTATGCCCTAAGTCAAAAAAATTCAAAGTCATTGTAACTATAACTGTTTCTAAGCTTGGAATGTATATGAATTGTCAGTCTCAGGGTATCGTCAAACAGTGCCTCTCACATTGACTGTCAACTGGTTATGAACATTTTACTTGCAATGTACAGACACAAAACAAAACAGAAGTGTGATAAAGCATGGATTATAATATGACCAAACATTAAATTTCTGCCTTCTCCCTGGACTTAACCTGATTTCACATTGATTTACCCATAAGATCCTATTATCTCATTAATCCTACGCAAGCCATTACTGATTATTCATAACTTCCAGTGCAATAGTAGGGAGGTCATTGCATCATATTAACGACAGCACATTCAAATTGCCTTCAGCTGTGAAAATAATCTCTTCAAGAAACTAAACTGTGAGACAGACCAAACAGAATCCAGTTTAAACAAACCCACTGGTGAGAAAGAGATCAAGGACATATTTGGTCTGGAGCACATGCTATCTTTCAGTTTAGGTCAGACAAACTTAAAGACACTTGAAAAACCTTTTATAAGTTTAGACCTGGTGAGTGATTCATAAAATGTCCAAATACAAGGGGAAAAAGACATTTGGATTGCTTCTGATGCTGCATCACAAATTGTATTTACACTCCTTTCCTCCTCCCTTATTATTCTCATTTCTACATGCATAGATCTTGTTATTGTCAACCCTTCAGATGACAGCTGCAATATACTTTGCATAACCAGAAAGACAATTAAATCAAGCAAAGAGATGTATAGTCAAAGCACTTACCCAGCCAGTTCCACTTCCTTGGGTTTTAGTGAACAATAATGACGAACCTTGTAATACTGCCCATGAGGACGTCCAGTTTTTTCTACAATTAAAATGACTAATCTTTATATTTGTTTCCAAATAAAATGAAACTACTTCAAAATCTGCCCTCTGCTGAAAAGCAGACTTACATGTTAACTTAATTAACAGTGTAATGATTGCAATGATCGTTAGCAATATCAGTTAAGTCTGAATTACTAATATGTTTACAGAGAGGAATTTGTATTAAATAGTCCCAAGCTGGCCAAAGTTTCCAAATCAAACGGACCTAAATAGCAGTGAAAGCCTTCAGTTTCACTAGAAAAAAAACACTGTATAATTATGCCCAAACTGCTAGATACTAAATAAATTATATCAAAACACTGCATCATTTTGAGATTAACAAGGCACTGTAGCCCATACCAGCAAAGAATCCAGGTATTCAACATCTGACACAAATTAACTTACATGTGTAATAAAAGGATATTTCTTTTGAGAATTTACATGCAGAAAATAGAGGCAAGCTATTCCAGCAGCATAACAAATCCATATTCATCCCTCAGCACCACCCCCCACTCCTCACAACTGTCCCTTTATGGCTAAGAAACATTTAGTCTTCTTACAGATGTGGGGAACCCCTCCCCACAAATGGAAATGTATTTTAAAATGGGCGTGCCCTGGTGCTGAAAGCAGCACATGCCTAAAAGAGGCATTGCGTTAGTTGGACCCGGCTCGCCCAACATCTGTATAGATTGGGCACTTCCGCAGGGCTTTTGGCGCTTTTATCAATTGAATCAGCTATTAGATAGAAGTGCCAAAAAGCCCCGCTGAATCACCCAATTTATACAGATGCTGTGGAGCCAGGTTGAACTAATGCGCTGCCCCTTCCAATAAAGCGCTTTTTTTCCCACATCTGTCAGCACCCCAAAATCCTTGTCTTCTTTGTGCAAGTATGGCCAAATTACTTCTTTCTAAGCAGAAATCCATGAAACTAAAGAAAACACTAGACCTAGGCCATTTCACTTAAAAGTTCTGCCAGGAAAAAATGCATGCGAGTTTAAAGATGTTAACCTTCAGAATACTGCATGGAAGAACATACATCAATTAACTGGAAAAATGTACCTATATATAGCTTATATACTTTAAAGAGGCTAAAATTCCCAAACTTATGCCTCACTACATCTGTGTATTTTTTATAAATTTAAATTATAAACCGTGTTGGTGGCACTAAATAAAAAAATCCGAGAAATTCGGAAGAAATAACTCATCTAGTCTGAAAGTCAGATACAGGAGTCCATATTCTAGGCACACAGCAGATTGGCACTCCTTTGGTAGCTTACTGATATGTAAAACATTTCATCTTTCATTCTTTAAAAAAAAAAAAAAGTTTTGTTCAAGTGAGAATTATGAACTAATATCCTTCAAATGCCAATTCTGTAGTTCTGGTGCCACGGGAGGGCTTTAAAATATGTGAACTACCTCCATTGTCCAACATAATTAACTATTTCATAGCTGGGCCAGCTGCTGACTGGCTCTATTTCACAGTTTGTTCCCAGAAAAATACTTGTAAAACAGTGTTGAAAATAAATTAATCTTAGTACTGAAAAAAATCTATCAAGGCCCCAGGCCAGGTCCAAATCCAGTCCAGGGAATGGGATGGCTCTGCCGGCAGTGACAGCAACTCCAGCCCCTGTCAGATACATGTGGTGGCAGCAGTTAACTCCAGCTCTTGCCACATGCTCCATACTAGAGATGGAGCAACAGCAACCAAACACAGATTTTGTGCCGGGGCAGGAACTCTGGCATGAAGCACTGGTGATGACTCCAGCTCTGGATTTAACACAGGTCAGTGGGGCAGACAACTGATTAGCTGGGGCCAGAGTGGTGGTGATGGCCGAAGTAGCTGGAGGAGGCCTGGGGTTGTGCCAGCCCTTGCCTGCCTTCCTGCTGCTGATTGCTGAACACTCTGGGGTTCTACAGCAGCCCTCATCCCTTTTTTCCAGTGGCCCCCTGGTAGCCCAACAGGCTGGATACAGCCAAACCTGGGGTAGATCAATTTGGAAGGCAACAAATTTCTAGTTAAACTATCAACTTATGCTGACATTAGGAAGTGAATAATGGATAATCACACCAAAAAATATTTAGGTGAACCTTTGGATTATTAATTGATCTAGCCTCAGGATATTATAGCAGCCAAAGCATAATTGAGTACTTTCGAGTAATACAAAGCTTCAGCAAGGGCTTTAGATACCAGACTACCACTGTTAAAAGCCTAGTGTCTTCAGCCTATTGAGAAGATCATTACTATTGCAGTGGGGGAAATGCTGCATCTCAAAGTGAAACTGAGATAAATTTACACAAAATTATAACAAATTCCACCTGGAAACAAGATATTAAAAACCTGTTTAGCAATAATTACTAATATGAAAATCGTAATATTTATTCGACTATTATTTACACTGATAACTACCCAATTCATAAATCAATAAAATAAAGACCAAGAAGATAGAATTGAAGTACAGACTTACCGAACTTTTTTCCCATTTTCTGTAATTTTTGTCACATTTAATAATCCATACTTCTCTTGACCCTGTAGTATCAAATAAAATACCACATCGATAAATAAGAGATTCTTTAAGCTTGCCATCAGTAAGTCCTAAACTTAACCCTGCTCCCTCCCTAGTAATAGGCTTCCTGCATTGGGAAAATTTTGGCTCATCTCCGACACTCACAATTGTAATTAGTCTACTTCAATGTAACAAGAGGAGTAAAAACGGAATGACTGTACAGAATTAATCATTACCATTTAATAAATAGGCAGCTGCCCCAAATCAAGACCTGACATTCAATAATTAACTGGACTTAAATTCTTTGTCTATCTGGTGAAGCATATTAGAAACTGAGGTATGTATATGAAGACATCTCTGTTGCTGACATATTTACCATCTTTATCCTTAAAACAGGGTTAGTTGAAGAATTAACTAATTAACTGAATTTAGAGTTAAATTTATTTTAACAAATACCTCATATTTGAAAATAAATTTTCTATTGCGTCTACAAAGCATTATTTACTTTAGCTTAAAAATAAAAAAGGTAAAATATTTTTTGATAGCCTATATATTATTTTCCTTTCATACAAAGGTTTAACTATTAAAACTACAAACTATTTAGCTGTTTTATGAATTAGAGCACTTGAAACATCTGAACATGTATATCAATTTGCAGTTCAAATTACTTGATTCATTAGGCAGAACTTAACAAAAGGTATGCCCTTGTAAGTACAAAGTTAAATATTTTCAGATGTTATGCAAGATTAAGATTATATACAGGCATATTTATAAAATAAAATTTAGGGTATTACTCTTATATATGTACTATTAGAGAATGACAGGATTTCATCTTCATTCTACCAATACTTTCCGCCAGCTCAATTTAGTCCAAACCAGGGGTTGGCAACATGGCAAAAGAGGCCATTTTGCTTGGCA